ACGTGCTCACATGTGCAGATGGGTTTTAGGGTGTGGCATGCTTAACGGATAAGGCTGGTGGTATTCTATATTTTTTATATGCTCAACAAATGCCATAGAAAAGCCAACAATCAACCAAAACCAACAATTGCCAATTGTCTGTGCAGCCAAAGCCTGAAATAGCTTATTCTTTTGCGCCATAGACCTTCTTTGTTGACCAGAAGAATAAAAAAAAAACATATTGCTAAGCCACACTGTTGACTGGTTACCTCATTACAGTAAACATGAGCACTGTAGTTTCTTTTGAGTCCTGCACCATCCTTGTTCTGTAAATACTCACTAACACACACAGCTGAAAGTAGTCCCCAACAAATGCACTATTTACTCCTGTTTGAGTTGTTTATTTGCTCTAAAATCTACGATGCCCAGCTTTTTAAAGAAATGACTGGGCCTTTTAAAAAATATATATATAATTGTATAAAATATATTTGTGATTTGTGTTTTGAAAACTTTGCGCTTTCAGTTGGAACTAGTCTGGTTGGGGAATTCAAATATTGAGAGACTTACTAACACATTGTTACAAATAACAAAGATTAAAATTTCTTTAAACGATACCATGAGTCTACAGACACGCCAGCGGCTCTGTGAGGATATGCTAAATGTTTGTATGGTCATATTAGCAATGCTACAATATGCTGATGTTGAGCATGTTCATCATTTTAGTTTAGCATGCTAACGTTTGCTAATCAATACTAAACACAGCGTAAAGCTGAGGCTGATAGTTAGATAGCTAGTTTGGCAGGAATTTGGCCAAAGTCTTTAAACTCAGCTCATGTTAGATCACAATTCATGCTGAGGGGAAACATTTTACTAAAAAATAAACATTGTCAACCTCATAGTTGTAGTGCTTCATCCTACCTAGCCTATTTCATGGCAATCCAGGAGTTGTTGAGATGTTTCAGTCTAGATCACTTCACCAAGTGGTTGACTGACACACTGATATTGCTTTACATAGTGCCACACCACTAGCATGGCTAAAGAAATTAAAAAACAAAAGAGACATGACATACACATCTATGCTCTTGCAAATCAAAAGCATCTGCATGGACCTGCTTCTGGGTTCATGTCTTGCATTTTTTCGCAGTGCAGTCAATACACTGAGGATGTATTGTACACTAGCACACGTGACTGTACACACTGCTCAGCTGTGCCACCTCCTCTGCTCCGTTACCTCGCTGGGTTGATGAATTCAAACAACAGCAAGGAGCTTTCACGTGACAAACCTCGGTAATGCAGCAACATCTGTGGCCTTAGGTAAACACAGGCATTAACTGCACTCGCTGCCATCCTTTGAGGGACACTCATTGATTAGGGAAATTTGGCAATGTTTTCTCCAACAGGGCCCTGGTGGCTGACATAAGTGGGATTAGCAGAGGAATACAAAGCAAATGAAAGGTGCACCTGCCTCTGCTGTCCCTCTGCTCAGAGACCACGCGCGGTGCTGAAAACAGACTTTGACAGCACTTTGGGAAAAAGGCAGATTGTGTGAGTGCAGGTGTAGTTGTGGGGAAGGAGCACATAATCCACAATAAAATACAGGGCTTGAGGTTGATGTCTAAATGAGATGAGGGGTGCTTCTCGTCTCGATTAAGGGCTTCTATCTTGTTTAAGTGGTAAACTTGAATTCACCTTGTACTGAGGTCTCCATCTCATTACAATCAGCAGAACGTTTGAACCCGTCTCCCTGCCTCTGTTGATCCTGTACAGATGAAACAAACATTAATTATGACTACTTCTGAAACTTTCTTGGTTGTTCATAAACACTGATCTCTGCCATGTGTGATAGCGAATCTAATCCCACTGAACAGGATTTGGCCTTGATAAAGCTACAAAGCGTATAATGATCAACTCCCTATGTTCTGCATTTCCCCTGCAGGAATGTTTCTCTGTTGTGCCCTTTGATTTTCGAACAAACATGATAAAAATAGCGGCCTGCCTCCTGTGCCTTTTGGTCATATTAATGGCAGCTTGTTTACAGGCATTGACATTACGGTCGTCCAATTACTGTGATTATATCCATCTATGTTGTACCACAGCTAAAGTCAAACACGCTAGCTTCATCCTCTGGCATTGCTTTTGTTTTAAAGCAAGCTGAAGATGTGGGATTTGCAGTAAATTATGCCACGCTATTTCAACACATAAAAGATCAAAATAGTATCTTGTGCCTTAGTAGGAGCCAAGTGAGCGTGGACTTGCAGGATACAGGGAGGATGTTGAGCTCCGACCCCTCATTAAAATGACACTTTTGCATGCAAAGATGACTAGGGGGAGTGTCACAGCGCGGGATGACCTTAGAGCAGGCGAAACGGATGGAGGCTCCTCGTTCGGGAATGTAACGAGATGATAAAAGTTCCCTGGTAGTCAGTTTGTTGAAAGATGAAGATAAACACATACTCATGAACAGAGACCTCCTCGTCTGTCCTGCAGTGCAGAGTTCTGCCTGAATAGTCTGTGTGAGCCGTTTCTGCTCTAAGTGGAGAGAGTGGGAGGATCTCTCAAATACTGAGGAATTTATGTTTATATATCATTTGGTTTTCATTTTATTTTATTAAATTGCATTTCAATTTCAGTCTATTAATACACATACATAGATACATACATATAAAGGTGGACACTGACTGGCTGGTTAAAAAAGTCAAACACATCATAAACTCCTTTCCAAATTAAAAGAATGTTTGAAATTAAAAGCCTACAAGAAACTAGGGAGATTAGAAATATGCCCTTCTGGCACTGGAAGGCTTTTAACACAAAACATCTGTGCAGGAAATGTGTATGTTTCATTCAAGTCAATGGTCAGTGACTGGAAGTAATTTGTCAATAAAAACTGAATTTTTATGAAAAGAGAAAGTCAGAGCAGCCAAGTGTACAACACAACTCTGTGACACTGATGGACTGGATGGTGGAATAAACACTTTACTGAATTTAATAAGGCAACCGGTCACCTTGGATGAAGTTTTGATTTGGCTTTGACAGCATTGGCAGCAAGTAACGAAGCAGCCGATCAGAAAGCAAGAAGGCTTCTTTCTAAAATACAATAAAATACACTCACGAAACAGGGACACTTAGAAATAAAGGCATGTGTGTAATATAGTACGTCTATTTCACATGAAAGTCTGCCTCTCTCTGCTGTAAATAAAGGGCCGCTATTTGGGATTTGTACAATAGTAAGATGAAGGGGGAAAAAGCACAAAGGTAGTCCCTCAGTAACTCACATACACCTGCTTACTACTGAGGAAATGCTTCATCAAATATTAAACCAGAAGGTTGCAGAGATTCTCAAAGAAGACAGATGACTTGGCCAGCAGGTGAAATGAAACCGTGAATGAAATACTGATGCAACTGCTTCAGCTGAGTCAAGAGACATGTAGTCAGATAGAAGAGGAGATAGAGTGAACACCCCACCTTGTTTGAAAACAAGTGAGTGGAACCAACAGGTGAACAGGACGGGGGGAGTGAGAAGAAATGAGAGGATGAGAGCGGAGTGCACACAGAAAGCAGACCAGCGAGCAAGCCAGAGAGGGAAGATAAGAGAGAGAGATCAGCCTCAGCCAGAATCAATTTCTCAGACCCAGAGTTCATTTCATCAATCAGCACACAGATAGAAGCACACACAGCACGGGTTGGCTTGGACTACTGCCAAACGCATGCTAATGTCCACCTCTCCCATCCTTCCTTCTGTGTTGGTATAAATGGCCCGTGCACTGCTGCTTTTCACACCCAGGCATCATCCTTGTTCCAGGTGGAATATTCCAGACGTTAATGATTAGCATTTCCTCACGTACCAGGAACTTTTTTTTTTAGCACTGCTGGCTTACACTCTTAAAGCAAAGGAACATAAAGTAGCTTAAAAATGGTGGGGAGTTAGCAGCAGAAAAGTGAGCCAGTACATTTGATAGATGTGAGCTAATAGCAGTAAAGTAGCGGCAAGGCGCCATCACATATCTACGACTCCACTGCACAGAC